GTGTGCACACACATGTGCACACGTGTTCACACGCACACCCTCCTCTAACCCAGCATCCGACCGCTCCGCTCCCGAGCAGCGCTAATGATGCCGCAGCACCAGCGATGCGGTGCGAGGCAAAAAGCAGATGAAAGTGATGTCACATTAATGTCAGCTCACAACTCGAGCCCACACAGCCTTGATTGCTCTTATTAATCTTGCCAATTTGTCTGTCAGCACTCAGCTAATCCCTAAATAGCCTCCCAACAGGTGCTTTATGCTTCCGCCACATTGCTGCTCCCCCCCCTCCCCCCCCCCCCACCCCCCCCCCCCCCCCCCCCTCCAAGCCCTGGAGCCCTCCTCGGTGACACCGACTCTCTCCTGTCCATCTGGGAGCAGCTCCTTCCCTGGGAGGGTTGGAGGGGAGAGAGGCAGCTTTGCAGATGTTGTTTAGTCTGTGCACAGAGGGCGCGGAGCTGGGGGCTTCCAAATGGAAACGATGGGCGGCGGGGAGGGGATGCTGGAGCAAATCACCTGGTGTTGGGGTGGGGGTAAGTGGGGGATGAGTAACACCCCCCCCAACCTGGGGTTTGCTCACATAACTGCGTTTCTGGCTAGCACGATGGTTGCATTGCTTTTATGTATCGCTGGCTTGTTGGTTTTATTGAGATGGGACGAAAGCGTAGCACAAAACTGAAGCTGCAGTGGAAAAGCCACATTACACTCTGAGCAGCTTTATCCTGCAATTAAGCTGAGGGTCAAACATTTCCTTTGCTGTGCTATCAGAAAATCCGCTGGCTTATTGCAGTGTATATTTAGCCATGAAGTTCCCGCTGAGCTCAGAGTGGAAGGCTGAAATTATTGTGCTCCATCCTCCCAGCGCTCTCATTTAGCACAGTAGTTTTAAACACAGGTTTTGCATGCAGGAAACCCTACGAACCACTAAAGTGGAGTGTTAGCTGCTTTCCTGCATTTAAAAAAAAAAAGAAGAAGAAGAAGAAAGAAAAAAAAAGGGATATATATACATGTATTTTGGTTTGGCAGCAAGCTGCATGGAGCAGCTCGCACGCAGCCTTCAGCCCCATGCGCTGCAGCTCACCTGGGGGATGCTTTGCTCTGCAGGAGGAGCTGCCAAACCCAGCTCTGCTGAAGCAGGCTCCAATTTTACATCCGACGTTGGCTCAGGCTGCTTCCAGCCCTGTGCTTAGCACTGCAGGAAGGAAGCTTTCAGGGCATCCTCCACTGCTCTTCCAAGAGAGTCACCAAGGGGAGCGTACCCGCTGCTAGAGCTTGGCGCTGCTCATCATTAACCCTTGGGTGCTTCAGATCAGATCCTAAAAGCCCTCTACAAACACCATCCGCAACCACAAGCTGTTTCCCTCCATCCCGACCTGGATTTATCACTGGGAGACAGATAGATTTTTCCTTCTTTCTCCCCATCCATTTATTTCACCCAATGAGACGATCCATCACGGCGCGCTGGAACCGACCTACGATCCGGGGATATTCTTAGATACTCAGCATGTCAGGAAACGGCTCACAGCCCCACTTGATGCAAATATTTGGACGAGCGAGAGGTAGGAAGGATTGTCCAAATGTTTACTGAAGGCTGTTGATAGCCCAAGGATTTATAACTGGCGCATAATGCCTGCCCCCACACAGCTCCTCTAGCAGGTGCATCCAGTTTCAGCATGACACATGGTATGTGCGTGCTCTGGGAACGGGGATGCAGGAGAAAGTGCTTTCACAGGTCTCGCCTCCCTCTTCCCATCTCCATTAAGGTTTGGAGAGGCAAGAAGGGAGCCCAGGGCCAGCTCTGGTGATAGAGAGCCTCAGCAGCAGTTCACATGTGAAGACAGAACATAAGCATTGAGCGCTTTGGGTTGGAATTTGCCAAGTGAAGCCAAGGCTCTGAATTATTGAGGCCCATTGTCACACTCCTTCGGAGCTGAGATGGAGAAATTCACATCATTCTAGCTATTGCTCTTTGCATTTCACTTCCTAACTCACACCATCAGGGTTTGATCTCTTTTGTCTCACAATAATCCCTAATTACTGTTGAGGGCACATCACTGCTTACTGATTGGGTTTAATATTTTCTAGTGTCCAAGGAGCAGCAGTTTTTTGGTGGCTTTGAGGACCCCTATGGAAATGCCCCAGCATCCAGGCAGCCCCTACACCAATAACAGAGAACAACAAGCTCAGAGCAGATCATGTTGGCCAACTAGAGTTGGAGATACACTCAAGGAAAGCTTCAGTACCTTGCCCAAGGCCAATGAGTGAAGGCATTCAATGGCAAAAGAAGTCAGTTTGCTGATACCCTGTCCTGCATAGATGCTCTCAAGTTGCAGGGAGACCTCAGATGACTCCAACACAACCTCTTGTTCTGAGCATGACCCATACAAGATCAGTTTGCTGTGGCTTTGTGTAGCTGAGCCTTGAAAACCTTCAAGGACAAAGCCCAACAGCCATGCACACAGATAGTTCAGGCAGCAGAGAAACTGTTGGTGCCCTTTTGCCCATCCAACCAGGCTCTCAGACTCTGCCAGGGGCTGTTTTGTCTGTAAGCATTTCTACATGGCATTACTGAGAATCCTATGGAGCAGGAGAAATGAGCGCAGAGCTGAGTCACTCCAGCCTGCAAATTGCCTTTTCCTCAACCATTTGCTAGATTTTAACTATCCTAGGAACAAGAACACATGCACTCAGCATGCTGTAGACGCCCAGACAACGTGCTTTTCTGTGTAAGGAGCAGCAATTGTATCTGCTGCAGAACAGCCTTTAATTCATTGCAGCCCTGGACGGCAGAGTTTGCTGACTGCTCAGGCAGGAATACAATGGCCCTATTGTTTTGCTAAGGGAAGATTTCTTTGTTGCACTCTAATGTGTAAACTGTATGTTTTCTATTTGTTACCTGATTCGTTTCAATGGAATCCCTTAGATAGGCTTAAGGCTGTCTGCTGTCCTGTGCTAGAGCAATGGGAGAAGCTGGGAGGTTGAGGACCTGGTTGTTAGTGTTCCTTCTATTTGGCTTGCTCGGAAAGAAGGAAGAGAATTTGGTGTTCTTTGTGGGAGCAGAAACTGCATAATAAAATACATGGGGGAAAAAAGTAGTAAGTGCTCAAATTCCAAAAGTCATCTTCTGTGCTCAATGAAGGTTTTCTTTATATACCAAAAGAATTTAGTCCTGGTTTTGGTGTCACATTCTCAGTGTGACCTTAAAAGTGTAGCTGTAACTCAGACTAAACCAGATTTCTCTCTCCTTGAACCTATTTCTCAACAATCACCCAACAGTGTGGAAATGTGTTTCCTAGATGAGAATCTTGAGCCATCAACAGGCCCCAGGCCAGAGGGATTCTGCAAATGCATATGGTGGTCATGCCTTGCACAGCCCAAAGCCTTCTTCACAGCTGTGCCAACCATGTTTCCATACCAATCTCTCCAATTTCTCTTCGTGTTAGCAGTGGGATTATCTCCCTGGACTTGCTGGGTTGTGGTATGGAGACAGTCTCCCTATAGATCTCCTTCCACAGGTTCTCCTCTCCCCAGACCCTTTGTGTAGATGGAGTAAATCTGGGGTTCAAAAGATTGGTAAAAGGATTGGATTAAAGGCATTGCAGCCCAAAAATACAAGCCTAAAATCTGAATTTGCCTGTCTGAACCCAGACGCATCCACAGTGCATGGGGGCAACAGCAAGCTGTGGCAGAAGAGAGGATCTTCTGCAGATAAGTTCTCTGGCCTCTGTCAGAGCAGATTTAGGAGAGGAAGACTGTGGATATCCAGTTAAAAACTGCAAAACCAGTAGGATCTGGTCCAGGCTTAACCAAAGCAAAAATAAATCAGCTCAGTCACTGGTGTGTTTCAGTGCATTTGGGCTTAGAGGCGATGTGGGTGATGGCTTGTGGTCCAGACCAGCGTGGTGCTTTTAGATATATATAATTAGACGTTTTTTCTGCTGCAAACCATTACTGACAGATTGAAAGGGTTTCATTCTGCAGGATTTTTCTTGCCTTGTCTGCCAGGGAGCAAGCAGGCCTCACTCAAACTCTGCTTCGTTGGTGTAAATCACAGCATGGGGCTACCTTATCTCAGCCAGAGCCCCTGTGCAGGAATGCTGCTCTGTCCAGCCCTCAGGCCACCCACCCCTGATCCCAGGCTCCAGCATCTGCTCCAGGCTCCAGCTCTGACCCTTCAGAGACGTATTTTTGCAAGGTCAGGAGGTTGGGTGGTAAAAGGGGAGTGGAGAATAGCAGGGAAACAGTGAAGGCTGGCTCTGCAAAGGGATTTCAGGAGGATGTTTACACTCGCCATTAAATGCAGGCTTGAGCCTGTTCTCTTCTCCAGATTCACTACCCATCTGCACTGTTTGCATGCAAGCATGCATGAGGCACAGGCACGGTCCCAGCTTCAAAGCCTTCTGGATGAGGGTGGTCCATGCATGCTCTGAACCCTTGGGCCTTGGTTGTGCAACTTGGGCCAAGCACAGCAAGGTAGGAGCAGTGAGACAGCCAGCCCTGCTGGGCATCTCTGGGTCCTTCACAGGGCAACAAGAATGCTTTCAGCACCAGTTAAAATGTCATAGAGAAAAACCATATGGAAAAGAGGCAGAAGAAGGATTGGATGTGGCTCTGGGCAATCTGGTCTAGTGGTTGGAGACCCTGCACATAGCAAGGGGATGAAACTAAATGATCCTTGTGACCCTTTTCAATCCAGACCATTCTATGATTCTGTGATTCTATGATTCTATGATTGGGTCAAGAGCCTTTCCAAGAAACGGCTGCACAGGGGTCGCTGGACACAGCCTGACTATCATCAGGAACAAGGAGAGACTGTGCTTGCATCACGCCAGGAGACATTTTGATTAAGAGAGAGCATTCCAAGCAAAATTCTGATTTTCTTAAACTGTTAAACTGAAAATGGGTTTACAAAATGGTCTTCTGTGCAGACATTTGGGTACAAATTTCTTCCCGAATGAAGAGGAAAATGTCATTTCCTTTCCTATACAAGCTGATCTCAATGCAGGAGATGAAGACTCCGAGCTTTTCCCAACGAAGTTGAGGGTTTGCTGTCCAATAGAGTGGGTTGTGTGGTGAATTCTTCCCAAACTACTCACTGCAGTAAACTATCCCAACTGCTACTGAGCCTTTCAGCGAGTGGTTGAATCACTAAGCCTGAGCTCTGGGAAGGCAGCCCCATCCATCCCAGCCCAGGCTGCACCTCCCTGGGGCTGGGTGCCATCCCCAGTGGTCCCATCCCCATCCAACAGCCCTGAGGCCAAACCACCCACTGCAGCGTCTACGAATACAATTCCCATTCCAGCCCTTGCTTTCCTACATGGGAGCTTGCATCCTTCCCTCCTCCCTCCGCCCTCCCTGGTGGTGCAGCTGCTCGGCTCTGCGAGGGAAAGGCTCCCAGATGTGCTTGAGAGGGAGCGGGCAGAGTCCCGAATTCCACTCCGTGCTGTGCGGACTCTTTGTATATTTTGTTTTAAGGAGAAAATATGCATCGAGTCCTCGGAGAAAGGCTGGGGACCAGGCACGTCCCTGTGATCACGACGAGCACAGGGGCTGCAAGCCATCCACCCTTGGCTTTTCTCTGCTTGCGGGATGGCAGCTCTCAGCATCATCATCAGCTGAAACCCATCTGCATTACACAGCAGGTCCCTAACCCCTTCGCTGGCTCAAAGCACCCTTCCAGAAAATGGGATTTTCTGCTAAAAGAAACCCCAAAAATCAGGCACCTAACTGCTCACATTTGCTATTTTTAGTATTTTTGGCTCACGAGCCGAGTGCCATATCAGATCAATAAATATTCACACGCTCCTAAGTGCTTTGTGGAGTAGGTTTCATTGCATTTCAAGCGCATTTAGCTGTGGCACTTGGTAGCTACATGGTTATTGCGTGAGACAGTACGTTTATGAAGTGTTGGCCTTCATTTAGTTAATCATTTCATTGATGTGCAATATAAAAATAGTATGAAACTAATTGTTTCCATAGAAACAGGAACCCAGCAAATTATTTCGTATCACAGCTTGGCAGAAGAAAAAGAAGAAACTGCTGTAATTGTTCCCATTAGTGAAACACAGAGGATTCATGCTCAATCTCTACTACACTCGGCCTCACTTCTGCTGTGAATTAAGGGACGAAAAGTCAGCGCAAGAACCACAGGAAAAAAAAGCACAGAAACAATCTGCGCTTTATTGAGTATTTGTTGTTCTGCCACCAAAACATTTTCCCTTCTGCTTTACAGGTTTCTGGCCAGCAGCTCCAAGGACTGTCACAACCATGCTGTGCGCTTGGGAACATCATGCAATGGGGCTTTAACTGTGAATGGAGGACATTGTGGCCCCACTATGGGTGGGATAAGAACAACTCTCACCTCAAGGGTGAGTGCTTAAAAGTGGAGGCAAAGCTAGCTGGTGGAGCAAGTGATGGGGGCAGGCTTCCCTGTGGTGCAAATCAGCCCATGTGCACTCAAAATGACCCAAATCATGACCTTATGGAGGCTCTTTTGGCTGTAGGGTGCACTGATGACAGAGACAATTCCCACCATCTGTGGATTTCCTCACCCTGGCAGCTCAGTGAGGAGCAGCGGGCCCTAGCTAAAAGCCTTGTGGTCCAGATGTTATGAACCATCCACCCTGGTTCCAGTAAGAGCAGTGCTCCTACAACACCACAGTGAGCAGCTGCATGGAGGTTTGAGCCATCCCAGGGTGGAGGTCAACTTCTCCATCCCCACATTTGCCATAACCAGCCACAGCACACACAATGATAAAAAGGGAACTGGCAGGACAAAACTCATCCTGATTTCCAGGCTGATGTCTGCACAACCCTACTGGCTTCTCCAACAGAACCAAGAGACACAGACCTGTTCTGTCCCAAGGTTTCCCACTAGGCTGATTACTGCTAATTGTACCACTTGTCTATCTCGCCAGCCGCACCCTGAGCAGGGCTGATAGGGTATCAGTGAGATAAGGAGCACTCGGATAGCACAGGTAACAGAACTTTGGGAGGGATTATCACCACTGCCACCCTCCTTCGGGGGGACACTGAGGTCCTAAGGATGTGTGCAGGGGCTGGCATCCAGCTGTAAGCCTTGTGGGAAATGCTACCGTGGGTTTTGGTGACTCTATCTGCAAGTTGCAGAGAAGCAAGCTGGCATTCATTTCATAGTAATTCCTTTAAATTCACTTAGCATGCGGATTATTTGTATGAGCTGCTTTTGCTGTTGTTGACACAACACTGTGGAAATGGAGGCTTCATCATTTCTCCATCTTTTTCCCCCCTCCCACAGAGAAATAAATGCTGTTCTTTTAACAAATGCTGTATCTCTCATTTCATTTCTTATTTCTCCCCAACTCTGCTGGCCTACCTGAACAAATTCAGCTCCCACACTGGCACAAGGTAGGGATTTCTATCACCTGCTTGCTAAGGAAGAGACTTGGATAAGGCGTTCTTATTTGAAAACGTTTTTGGTAAATGACTTGCAAAAAGATACTTGGAATATTCACACTCAGAGACATTCTTTGTTAGATGTATTTTCTCCTCAGCACATACAGCTTCTGGCTGTATGTAAAAGCACATCACATCTGGCAGGTAAAACACACTGGCCACATCAGCACCTACACGTTGTCTTGCTTGTCTCAGAGCTTGCTGATGCACAGCAAACATCACTGCTGCATAACATAGAGGCAGGTGTGCTACACAGCTTGGCTGAGCTGGGCAACTCATGGCTGTGAGTCCCCTCACCTGAGGCTTGGGATGTTGTCCATGTCCATTGCTTCATGTATAAGAGCAACATTGGAAGCCTGGAAAGCCAGGTAAGCAGACAGGCAGACATTTTCTTCTATAAGATACCCCAATCATCTGCTCTTCCTTTCAGAGTCCTTTCAGGTCTGCATTCACATTGGTTTAAGTTACCAGAGTTTCTCATTGTCATACAGTGGAGCTCATAACAAAGCCTGTGACCAGCTCTTTCTTCGATAATTCCTTTCCCTTATTTGTTTATCTCAAGTACTGAGCTTTGTTCCAGTCCCAAAACCAAAAGCCTTTCTACCCTGCTCTCCCCTTGACTTGTTGCAGATGTAACAAAATAAATCTTTAGAAAGAACAAACCTTCACTTCCTCTCTCAGTCACAAACCCTAGGAAAGAAAAATAAATCACAACGTGAGCTCACCCTCTCTTGGAGGATACCACACTATTCCTGAAGGCCACCACTCAAACTGGAGGTGTCCATCCCTCAGAGAGATCAATGAACGCAGCAAATTAATGAGCAGCATCAGCTCGAGCTGTGACATGAAACCAGCCCCAAAAACAAATCCACGTGCAGTGCCATGAGCCAGGCAATCCTAATTCTCCATGTTACTTTTCCATTCCATGGCCTATTGGTGGGACAAAGAATTGGTACTCATGAAATCACCATTTTATGAGTGGCCAAAGTCAAGAGTGGATAAAAGCTTGCCATGATCAGTCTGAATCATGGTGGATGTGATGGCCAGCAATGGTCAGGAGTGGCACTGTGCTGCTGGCGTGCTCCCAGCATTCATCCCTTGGGAACTGAGGGCCAATGAATATCTCTGGCTCATCCCAAAACTCTGCCCCTCATCTCCCCTGACACCCACCTAATGCCTTTTAAACTGGAACTGGAAAAATCAGCAGCAGGGTGTGTTTGTTTTTCTCAATTGGCCATAGCAAAGAGGTAGAAATACACCTCCGAACAGCATTTCTTCCTCTCCTGAGAGAAGTCTCCGTATGAGAGCTGTGTTGCTCAGGAAGGCTCAACCCATCTCTAAATGTGACCAAATCACAACAGCTGTGTCTCCAGCTGACACAGGTCTAGGATAAAGACAGACTGGCTTTAAGCTGGGAGTATAAAACTGTACAGAAGCAGCGATCTGGATTTTCACCAGATAGCTTTTATTCCTTCAAGGATACTCAGGGGCAGATGAACCATGAGATATCCACAAACTGTGCTGAAGTCAGAAGGCATTTGGCCCAACACTTCAGAGGGCCGAAACGAGACTTTCCTTCTTCTTTTTCTTAAACAGGAGGTCTTTGCAGTTTTGAAACAATCTGTACAGTTAACATCGAAGAAAGTGTAATTAGACACTTCGAGGACTGGAAGAAATTAACTCCAACCACAGACTGTCACTCAGACCATTATTTAATTATTCTCCCCAAATGCGCAAAGCACTTAGTTTTAGAATAACAGAAAAGAAGTCTAACTCCTCACCAAGAGCTAAGCCTCTGGGTGGGGACGCAATGGGCTCCCAAGCCATAGGATGGGGACAGGAACGAGCACCTTGGGCACAACTTTGGGCTCTGAAGGACATGATTGATGCCTGAATGGCTGGAACACAGTCAACGGGAGTGCCCGGCCCTAGGTACAACAGGCTGTGGGAGAGAAGATCGCCTTCAGTTTCCAACATGCCAAGGAAACCGCTGAGAAATTGCTGTTTTCCTTCTTCTGCAGCACCGCGCAGAGCCGTTGACTCACCCCTCGCTACAGAAACCTGGCTAGAAAGAGATTATTGTGATTTCTGACTGTTTCTTTCCTAACTACAAAAGACCCCATTCATCTGGGCTAATTTTGACGGGAGAGCAAGGGGTATCAGTAGCATGAACTGTATCTGAGCGTCTCGACCGCATTTCAGCAAGCCATGCCTGTTGGCCAGTTCCAGCCGGTGAAATGGATATCCTCCGTTTCAAGCTTTTTAGTGGATCGTTTCTCTGGTTCTAAACAGAGGTATCTTTTCTGGCCGTGGCAAGTTAGAGAAGTACTGACGAAGCAGAGACGGCCATTTTCATGGCAAGAACAAGAGGCCATTTAAAAAGGGGGAAAAGGCCGTTCTGCTCAGTCAATGCACCAACATTCGTCTGCCTACACGCGCCCCGCATGTGCACCAAGGCTGTGTCCAGAACAGTGAATCTCTGCCTTATTTCCAAGGGGTGAGCATGAGCAAAACATACTTTTATTTTTATTTTTTGAAGATTTTGCTCAATTGTGAGCCTTCTTGGAGCTCAGCTGGGACCGCCTGCATGTGTGGGAAGGGCTGGAACATAATTGCTTTCAGCAGATATCACTGTAGTCTGTAATTAAAACATACGAGGCTGCCAGCTTCAAATTTTCTAAGCGATTTCATCTGTATTTGGGTGATCACTTCTCTCTGAGAGGCTCTTATTAAATGATATTTCAAGTTCCAGCGCACTAAATGGGTGAAAAACTGATTTTGTCCTCTCCTTCTTGTAGTCCTACAAGAAGGACAAACTAGGCAGCATGGAGAGGCAGAGCTCAGACCTCATAAGCACATCCCTTCACCAGGGAAATGCTTGGTGAAAGCTGCTCAAGAAGTGCTGCTCCAGAGACAGAGCGGAAGGTGTTGATAAAGTTTGTTAAAGAAAAGGGGGGGTGGGGGGGGAAGAAAGGCTAACAAAAAAATCTGGCACCTCCTAAATCAGAGTGACAATTTCAGTGCAGTGTTTACATGGGGTAGTAAAAATAAATTGCCTGAGACTGATTATACCCACATGGCACTCTCCAGCCAACAGGGATGTCCTCCAGTATTGGAAACCCAACACAGGGAAACACATGTGGCAATCCTCAGCCCACTGGGGCCAGCACTGCTTTCTTCCTTGCCTCAATAGATGGAAGCAGCAATGAGAAGAGGGATGTGCAACTCCCCACCAATGGACATGATCGCTTTGAGAACCACGTTTGGCTTACAAGGCCACTGCTGCTGAGTCCTACAAGGGCTGTGGGCAAATGAGCAGAGTGGGCTTGGGGCATCCTCAAGCTTTGAGAAAAAATGCCTGCTGGATCAAAATGGGTAATGGAAGAAGGCAAAGATGACAGCATCACTGTTAGAACTGTAATGAGTCACAAATGCTATTTTGATGGCTTTCTTTGAAAGATGTACACAAGAGCCAACTGATGTAACTAAAGATCTCCTAGGCTTTATAATCAGCACGGCCACAAATGCATGTGGTAGAACACATGAGTAGGGTCCCCAATCAAATAAAATAAAATTTTTTTTTTTTAAAAAAAAGAGGAAAAAAAGAGAAAAAAGGTGTTTTGAAGAGTTTTGTTTGCAACGATACCGGGACATGAAGAACATGCATCCCCCATGTGACAGAACGACTGTAACATCTTGCACGGCTGAGATGTTTAAACTTCAGAAATAAGATGGGTCACTCAGCAGACAGTTTTTATTCTTGGCAAGCAAGCTCTGAGCATGGAGAAAGTGAGCATTTTTGTCCTAAGTGTGACCACCTGGGACTGATCTGCTCGGGGGAGCAGGAAACACCGTGCAGTTGACCTGATAGAAATAGCTGCTGTTTCCTTTGCATCCCATCACCACGGGGCTGTGAGGTGCACCGTATCCCTGTGTGCATCCAATGTTTGCAGAAAAACATCAGAGAAATGGTGAGTGTGGATTAATCTGCCTGAAGAAGCCTGTGATTAATGCAACTTGGATGGTGCTGTGGGAAGGCGGATGGCTTGAAAAGATGGAAGGAAGTTTGAGGCTGTCCTGGCTTGATACTATATATGGTCTTTGGTCAGTTCTGCTTCAGAGGCTGCAGCCAGAATCAGATTTTTATTGTATTTCTTTTTCAAGCAGTAAAATGCTTGAATAATTTCACCCAACTCAAAGAGCCGAGATGGATAGGTCCACCAGTGATCCAAGTGGTGGTGGATGAGTCCACCAGCAATCCCTGCTATGAACTGGCTGCACCAGCAGGATGATTTCTCAGTGCATGGGCTATGAGCTTGACCAAGTCCCTTCCAGCAGCCCTACTTAGGCTGCAAAGCCCCAGAGATTTGTGCTTTCACACAGATCCAACCTGCACTGATAACCAGCACTGCTGAGCGTGCTGGAACATCCCCCCCTCCCCTCCCCTTTTACATCTGCTCTACATTTGCATCTCAGAAATTAGAGAACTGAGCTATGCAGAATTACAGAGCATGGGCTGGAGTATGGAACTGATTGGGTATTCAGGCTAAATAAGAAGAGTTTAAAGATCTTTCCAGGAAATTGAGTGGAACACCCAAACTGACATTCGGTATTAAATATTATATTTGTGCAGTTGCTCTGCATAGCCCGTTGGCACTGAACATCTGGGAGCACGATTTATAACATACAGAAACTGAATACCTGCTCAAAATTACGCTCATCAGAGCTCAGAAATTAAAATATTACTCTGTACACTCCGAGCCACTCCATTCCTAAAAGGTAAGGCTATTAAAATATGATTAGCTGAGCCGTATCTGGTCTCAGAAATGTCATACGCCATTACAACTGAAAAGACTTTGATGCAGTGCTCTTGGCAAAGCCCCTTGCTTGATCAGCAGCAAAGATGCCTAAGAATGAACCTTACGAATACTCTCCCCAACATCAGGAGGGAAATGCAGAAGAGAAGGGCAGCTGCTGGTTGCAGAGGCTGGAGTGGATTGGGGCTTCTATTTAGGGTGGGCAAGAGCTGAAAGCTTGACTATTATTATTATTATTATAAATATGGAAAGAGCCCCACTGTCCGTTGCACTGGGCTTCTTATCCTTGCCCAGTACAGAGGCAGCCCCATTGCTGTTCCCAACCATCTCTGCTCCCAGTCCTGCACTGCTACATTTCCAAGAGCACGACATGGGTGGTCGGGGTCACATTTCCACTCTTGCTGGAGAATAAAATCCAAACAACAGCCACAGAAAACCTGTAGGCCCTGGGCTCAGGTTGGGCTGATTGCAATCTTCTGCTTCTTGCAATGCAAGAAATTATGTATGCATATATACAAACACATGCATGCATCTTTTAGAATACCAATTAGAATGATAGAATTGTATAGGGATATAATGACGTATTATCTAACCTATACATTAAAATGATATATATTTATGTAAAACCTTTTGCAATACATGATTGTCTCTTCCAATGAGGCAGTTTGCCCTGATCACAGCACTGCACAGCATTCACCATTAAACATTTCCATGCTGAAATCTCCGTAAGGACTCAGCTAGCGGTGATCCCACCAGGTCTGGGGCACTCAGCTCTGGCCAAAGCCTTCCCTACAGCTGGCCATGTAATCCCAGCCATGAAGCCTCAGCCCTATTACCCTCTGCCCACCCCACAGCCAGAAGAATTCCCTTACAGTGAAGCCTGCATGCCCTGGCCCTGCGGGAGCTGCCTCTCCCCGCCTTTGTCAGGGCTTATTACTCCATGTTTTCACACTTATCCCCAAGGTGTTGAACTCACCCTGAAGGTTAATTAGTAATTTATTGCGCTGTCATCAGTTCGAGGCTACTAATGGCTTCAATTTAGCCCCAGGGCTCTTGTTTTTTTTTTTTTCTTTTTTCTTTTTTTTTTTTTTCTTTCTTCCTCCCTTCCTTTCCTCCTGCCTGCTTTGGAGAAGCTGTAAACTGCATGGGAAAGCAGCAAAACTACCAGCTGGAAATATGGTCTCTCAAGGGGCTGAAGGTGGCTCTGGGTGCCGTCCTGTATCCCTGGCCCAGTCAGCAAGAAAGCAATTTAAATCAATTCATGGAGAATAGCAAGGCTGAGAGCACATGGTGAGAGCATCACCAGCTGCTGTTGCAGGACAGTCTGCATAGAGGATGACGCACCGACCACATCACCTGGCCTCTGGGCATCTGCTTTTTGCATTGCACACTTGCAAGGCTCATTGCTGAGCAATGGGAGCTGTCGTGTTTCGAGCTGGTGAGGGCTGGATGGGACTAAGGAGCAGTTCTATCCATCCCATAATGCCCCTCCAGCGTGCCTCAGTTTCCCTCCCACCCCATCATAGAGATACCAAACAGAACCCCAAGGATGGCACCCTGTGTCCCCCCATGTCCCCATCAGCCCTGTCCATGTGCTGATATATATATTTTTAAATTACTTTTTTGGAAAATAACCGAATAACTCCATTTCCTGTGTTTATACAGACCATTAGGTAAACCAGCCACGGGAAGGGGGGAGAGAAAGGATGCAGGATGGGAGCAAGCTCTACAGCCAGGTTAGGAGGAGAGAGGTCAGCTGCAGGGAAGGTGACTCATGAGTGTGCCCCACTGGGGACAGGTGGCATGTGAGGCTTCATGTGGGTTACAACAGCAGGATGGTGCCTGGCTACCCACTGGGCTCTGTGCATCCTCCCTGCTGGACTGGGATTCAAGGGGGAGAGAGCCTGGTAGAAGGGAAATCGAGTAATATTAGGGAAAAAGGGACAAATCCGACCTCATCAAGAATGCAGTTTCTACAAAAAGGCTGTGATGTGGCTCTTCCAACAGACACAAGCCAGTGGCAGAGCAGGGCAGCAGGGTGCTCACATCAGGTATGAGTAAAGGGGAAAGGTGCCTTTCTCAGAAGGATGAGACCCAATTGCTCACTAGAAAGGAAGAAGGTATTGACATTAATTTGGGTTTTGATGAAAAAAAAAAAAAAAATTAAGAAATAAAAGAAAACCTATATTTAGCTTCCGACTTCAGACACAGCCTGAGGATTCCTATAGTAACATCTGCTATTCCCCTCCCCTGTTTAATTTATGGCCGTTAACTTTAGGGCTAAGGACAGTTTATGGAAAAAAACACCTGCTTTCTCCTACTCCCAGGGCAAGGGTGGAATTTTCTCTGACTCTGCATCCTAAATAAAGCTCCGTTCCAGGCCCCGATGATTCATAGCACGGCTCATGCACACATGCCTTATGTTAGGAGGCCCTGTCAGATGCTCATGCCCCTTTCTCCAGGACTCGAGCACTGAGTTCATTTATACGCATCACTGGGGCCATTCTGGGGGAAACCTGAGCCCAGAGATCCCACTGTGCCCACCTCCTGCAGAAAGGCTCTGTCCGTGTTGTGGCCAGTGGGATTGCAGTAAATCCTCCCAGTTTGGGCCTGATTTTGCTGCTTCCCAGCAAAGTGCATCTTCTCCAAACGCACCTTAAGCACGCACTGAGCTCAGCCCCTGCTCTGCTTGCTCAGCAAGGCAGTGTCTCATCCTTCCAACAAAGATCCCTGTCTCTGCTGCTGTCAGGATGAAAGATGGCGTCAAGCTTTCACTCAGGGTTGCTTGTCAAGAAGTAAAACAATTCAGGAAAAAAAAAAAAAGAAAAAGAAAAAGAAAAAACTGAAAAGAAAGTAAAAATGGGAATTGTTGGCAGCAAAAGGAAGATAAAAGCAGGACGCTCATCCAAGCTCATGTCTGAAAACTGATAGGCAGCACTCATGCAGCATACAAAGACCTCCCACGGAGTGCAGTGCTGAGATTCGGAGCATCCCACAGAGCTGAAGCCCCAACCAGGCTTTGCCCACCCCACGATGCTCCCTTATGGGGTGGGGGCTCCTCATCATTCAGAGCTGGGAGCAAAGCGTGGTGGTGGTGGCGGGGAGAAGGCTCTGACTAATCTTGTAACCTTTCCTTTTAGTGTTTAAGAGAACCGAAGTCTGTTTACAATAAAACAGAGTGATATTTTTCATCCTTCCAAATGGAACAAGGGTTATATAAACAAAGTAACCTCAGACACAGCAAACACCTGTTGGAGGGAACTGGCTCGCAAAGACACGCACAAGCTATCTGTCTATCTATCAAGGCCTCCTGTTGACTTGCGGTCAAGTTCAAGTTGAAGTGCATGGCACAGATTTGCTGATGGAAGAAGGCTGTGATAAGCAAAAGCATTAGTGAGTGCCCGTGGTTTCTGCTCCAGAGGTTAGCAGAACAGCAAGGAACAGCTTTAGGTCTGAATGTACCCAAATAATTTCTTAGCCAGGTTGGAGCAGTTTTCCCTGTTCACTGGTATCTCACTTCCAAGAAGAAACCCCAAATCAGGAAGTTATGGAATAAACTGTTGCAAATCTCTCTGTCTTCCTTCTACTCCCTAGCTCATGTTTCAGTCCTGCACCAAAATATGTAGGCTTTGATTTCTTCCAAACTGCTGCGGTTTTGATTTTTCTCCCGAAGTAATCAAATTGAACACAACTGCGAGCATATGATCCTGCAGACTGGGCATGAAACCAT